ATATTTCAAAGATTTATTATTGAAATATTTCAAAAATATTTGAGAAACATTTCTAAAATTACATCAAAGTGAACATATGATGTATCTGAAATACGTCTGAAATATTTTTTTGAAAAGTTTCATATTTCATTGACAGTTTTCTGAATGCTTTCCGAAATTTTTCAATGCTGTGTGGGGTCTATCTAGACAAACTTGCATAGCTGCATAAAAAAATTATCCAATTGTATTTTGTATGTTCTTATGTATGTTCTTATGATAAAAATGCGATTGGATAATTTTCTTTATGCACGTGGTTATGTAATTATGTAATTTTTTAATAGATCTTTAATCAAAATCCTTTATTTTCAGATTAAAAATAAAAATGAAGGACTTTGATTGGTTGATTATTCTATTTTTTATGCAAATAATAGGCCTGTTCTTTTCAGTTGAATTTCTTTTACAGCTCATATTTCTTTTCTGTCCATGCTGGAGAAAAAAAAGAAAAGATGAACTGTGCAAAAACTTTAGCTGAAAAGAATAGACTAGGGTCTATTCTTTTTAGCTGAACTGGCTGCACTAATTCAGAGTTTATCTTTCTTCTTCCAGTGTAAGAAAGAAAGATAAACTGTGAACTAGTATACATAGTAATAATTTTATCTTTATTTAATAATATTCCAAATTTATTTAATTAAGTCTATATTAAGTCTTTTATTAGAGATGTATAATCATAAATAATCTATCTTTATTTTATTATAATCTAGTCTATTGCATATCTTTCGTTATCTTTAGATTATAATATTTAATTTTGATCTAATTCTATTAACAATATATTAGAATGTAATTAAAAGCATTGTTTTAAAATTGCACTACTTAAAATATTGCATTTTTAAAATATTGTATTTTTTAGATAATACTAAAATCAGTAAAAAATAAATTAATGTTATTAATTTTAAATTTAAGATTCTTCATATCGTATATTTAATTTTCTATGAAGAAATGTTATAAACATTTTAAGATAATATAAACAGTAAAAGATACAATATATTTGCGAAGTTTAGTGATATTTCATTAATTTTTAAAGAACAGCGATAATTTCAATATTCCTTTTCATAGTTCTGTAATTTTCAAATATTAAACAAAGTTTTGCATTTTTAACATTAAAAAATGAAAATAAAAACTATTCTACTTTCATGTTTCAGCACAGTATGTCACTCACTATAGAAAACAATCAAAATATTGTCATAAGAAGATTTTGACTAGTTCTAGACTCCATGTTTGTAAAGCACCTGAAGACAAAATTCTAACAGTTGACAATTTTATACGCGAATATGTGTAACAGCACACTTGACGAAAATGTGTGATGTTAATTATTTAGCCATTTTAGCAACAGATCTCATTAGTTTTTTAAGAGAGTTCTATGTTCTACAATCATTTTTAAGCAGATTTTCAACGTCTACATAATCAGCACTGTATTCTTTCTTTGAGTGTTGGTTTGCATACGATACTACGTGTCTTAAAACTCGATTTAAAATTAGTAATATTAACTTATGTCTAGAGATTAATATTATATAAAAAATATAACATGAAAGATATCTCAAGTGATATGATTTTGACAACTTTACTCGATTATATTGTTAATAAAATAAAATCGAAATTAAATGTTTATTTTATGAATGAAAAAGGATTAGGTGCAATGGACTAGATTATAATCAAATAAGAATATAATATCTATGATCATATATTTCTAATAAAGTATACTTAACTAAACAAACGTAGAATATTATTAAATAAGGATAAAATTATTACTATGTACTAAGGAATTAGGCGTAAACCAACCAAGTAAAAATAGGATATTTAGCAAATAAGGATATAATTTTTATTTTTATAATTTTATTATATCTTCTAACCGTTGAATTAGGCGTCGTGAGTTTATTACTAATTAATAGTCTAAAGAAATTAAGTTTATTATCTTATACATTTTGTCCTCTTACCTTTCATTTTCCTCTGAGAGTCTTGAAGAGATCGATGCATATCTATCTGCGGAAAACGTTCATTCCTTAAATTAAAAAATTTTAGTTTCTTCTTCGATTTGATGTCAGGACGTCGTTTCGTACTGACATCAGGATCGCGCAGCTGCCTACATTTTCGTTCATATTCACACATGCTTCTCCATGTGTGAGAAACATAGGCCGCTATATGAAGCGATTCTTCATCCAGCATACTAAAAATTAGATTCGAAATTTCATAAGGTAATTTCGCAATAATATCTATACGAACTTCTTTATGTTCAAAACACACGAGCAAATTCCTGAAAGCCTCCATAGCTAGCGATCGGGATGGTTGCAGCGTATGCAATGACTATTTCGGCAGTTTGGCTCGGTATTTATTGGACTTCACCCCACCTGTACAAAATCTTTTTTCCCTCTCTCCACCCCCACTCTCCATCCTTCCACCCTATAGCCGTTAGCGGAAAGAAGGATGAGGTGGAGGGGTGAGGGGTGGGGGATGAAGAGGTGGGAAAGAAAATTTTGTGTTGGAAGGGAGGTTTCCAATAAATATCCAGCCAAGCTGCCGAAACAGTCATTGCATACGCTGCAGCCATCCCGATCGCTAGCTATGGAGGCTTTCAGGAATTTGCTCGTGTGTTTTGAACATAAAGAAGTTCGTATAGATATTATTGCGAAATTACCTTATGAAATTTCGAATCTAATTTTTAGTATGCTGGATGAAGAATCGCTTCATATAGCGGCCTATGTTTCTCACACATGGAGAAGCATGTGTGAATATGAACGAAAATGTAGGCAGCTGCGCGATCTCGACGTCAGTACGAAACGACGTCCTGACATCAAATCGAAGAAGAAACTAAAATTTTTTAATTTAAGGAATGAATGTTTTCTGCAGATAGATATGCATCGATCTCTTCGAGACTCTCAGAGGAAAATGAAAGGTAAGAGGACAAAATGTATAAGATAATAAACTTAATTTCCTTAGACTATTAATTAGTAGTAAACTCATGACGCCTAATTCAACGGTTAGAAGATATAATAAAATTATAAAAATAAAAATTATATCCTTATTTGCTAAGAAATATCCTATCTTTACTTGGTTGGTTTACGCCTAATTTCTTAGTAATAGTATATAGTAATAATTTTATCCTTATTTAATAATATTCTAAGTTTGTTTAGTTAAGTATACTTTATTAGAAATATATGATCATAGATATTATATTCTTATTTGATTATAATCTAGTCTATTGCACCTAATCCTTTTTCATTCATAAAATAAACATTTAATTTCGATTTTATTTTATTAACAATATAATCGAGTAAAGTTGTCAAAATCATATCACTTGAGATATCTTTCATGTTATACTTTTTATATAATATTAATCTCTAGACATAAGTTAATATTACTAATTTTAAATCGAGATTTAAGACACGTAGTACCGTATGCAAACCAACACAGAATATAGTGCTGATTATGTAGACGTTGAAAATCTGCTTAAAAATGATTGTAGAACATAGAACTCTCTTAAAAAACTAACGAGATCTGTTGCTAAAATGGTGGTAAATAATTAACATCACGCATTTTCGTCAAGTGTGCTGTTACACGTATTCGCGTACAAAATTGTCAACTGTTAGAATTTTGTCTTCAAATGCTTTATAACATGGAGTCTAGAACTAGTCAAAATCTCCTTATGACAATATTTGATTGTTTTCTATAGTGAGTGACATACTGTGCTGAAACATGAAAGTAGAATAGTTTTTATTTTTCATTTTTTAATGTTAAAAATGCAAAACTTTGTTTAATATTTGAAAATTACAGAACTATGAAAAGGAATATTGAAATTATCGCTGTTCTTTAAAAATTAATGTAATATCACTAAACTTCGCAAATATATTGTATCTTTTACTGTTTATATTATCTTAAAATGTTTATAACATTTCTTCATAGAAAATTAAATATACGATATGAAGAATCTTAAATTTAAAATTAATAACATTAATTTATTTTTTACTGATTTTAGTATTATCTAAAAAATACAATATTTTAAAAATGCAATATTTTAAGTAGTGCAATTTTAAAACAACGATTTTAACTACATTCTAATATATTGTTAATAGAATTAGATCAAAATTAATTATTATGATCTAAAGATAAAACAACGAGATAAAATAACAAGATATAGTAACGAAAAGTTACATGCAATAGACCAGATTATCAAATAAAAATAGAATATTTATGATTATATATTTCTAATAAAATAGACTTAACTAAACGAATTTAGAATATTATTAAATAAAGATAAAATTATTAACCAATTAAATTATTAACCAATTCAGCCATAAAGAACAGGCCTCTATTTGTACTCCCGCTCGCTCACGTGTTTGAATGGGTCTGAAGTAGGTAGCCTGATTACCGGCGCGCTCGATTCAGAAAGCACGAAAGCGACCAACTTCAGACGGAAGGACGGATAATAGTGGATAGTGTCCCGTCGTGCGGCACTGCATGGTGACGGTGGTAAAATGGCTTCGTCCGTGCCTTGCGTTGCTGGTAAGCATCTTTCCACACCATTCGCAGCGACACGCGAGACTGTCGATTGTTGAATTACAATTTAATCGTCGGAGAAATTCATTTCCTACGGATAATCATCGTCGCGTAAGCGAACACTCGATGGTATTTCGTTCGCTACACATTGCGGTCTCTTGCGACCAACGTGCGCTGGTCATGCCGTCTCGGCATTCAACGATTCGGAGCTATTTGTGATAACAACGTCATTGCAAGAAATGACATTCATATCGCGATGCTCGTGAATCACAGATGCACATTGAGACAAATTATCTCGCGATTCTGTGCTCTAACCTCCAAGTGCTGTGTGACGTGTTATCCTCTTGTACGTCACTGCTGACGCGAGGTTTTATTAATGTTAAAAAAGAAAAAAAAAGATGCCAATATTTGCACGTTTATCTTAATACGTTTTCCAGAAACAGAAATCCTCCGATTATTTTCGAGCAACAGTCTTGCTTAATAAACAAACATATAATATGTCTCATCTAATATAAATTGTCTAATATAAATCGTGTAATATATTGCTTAATCAAATGTTATTCTTATCATTATACAAAAGAGATGGTATATTCTTTTTTATAGTGAGAGGGTCCAATGGTATAAATTTAGCATATGGTCCACCATCCTATGACTCAGTTAAAACATTTCCCAAAGATGATAGCAAGCAATGCAAGACTATGCTCTTCAGTCCTGATGGTCAATACTTTGCTTGGTGTAATGGGTCCAAGGTTAAAATTGTACTATGCAAGACATGGCAGATTGTTGCTGAAATTGAACGACCTAAAATCTGTGCTCTCAAATTCTCCAGTCACAGCACTTATCTTGCAACTTGGGAACCATCCTTTGGTAATTAATACATAATTAATATAAAATAAGTATAAAATAAGTAAAATTTTTTATATTAATTTTATATTTATAATTTATTTATTTTATATTTATAATTAGGAGCATTGATATAATTTCAGTGACAAAAGAGGCACCTCAGGGAATAGAAAATTTTCGTATATGGAAGGCTGAAACAGGTGAACTAGTTCAGCATCTTGTACAGAAGAGAATGACGGATTGGTAAATATCAGATTATCACAACTCTATTTTTTATCAATCTTAAAAAATTAAATTAAACTAGAATAAACTAGAATAAACAGCAATTAGATAATTTTATTGATTGATGCTTTTATAAAGTTTTTATTTACATGGAAATAATTATTAATTATAGAAATAATTACATATATTTATTCAAAAATAGGGAGCCACAGTGGTCAAGTGATGAGACATTTTATGGAATATTAAAAGGAGGAAATGTTCTTTTGTATGAAAATAACAATTTTGATAGATATGTGCACAAGATAGGTAAAGGCAACATTGCTAAATTTAGTATAGCCCCTGGTAATGCTCCTTACCATATTCTCTGCTACATGCCAGGTAATTGTGTCAGTCACTATTTCACAGTGTGATTAATATATTTAATGCGCGATCTAATTTACTTGTTTCTCCATGTATATGTATTGAAATTTAATTTAATTATAAAAACAAAACTATTTATATGTTTATATGCGCACTTTTTATTTTAGAGTATTAAATATTGTAATTATACAATTACAAATAGTAGTCATAAGTTTCATGCATTTTTACATCATATTGAGTCTAATAACAAAGCCTAATCAACAATAATCAACACGGCACTCAACTTATTAATATATATAATTGTAGGAATTATTTAGCAATGTGGTGAGATACTAAAATATGGAAATTGCTGCATCTATAATCGTTAAAAATATTTTTTAGCATTACATCAATATTTTAGTCTAAAAGCATTTAATATAGATGATTCATAAAAACTTTAATAAAATGCATGATAATTATAAGAAATAAAAATATAAAAAAATTTTTATTGATTTTACAAAATATTTAATCATTATATTAATATATTTTATATTTATAAAAGATTATATATATGTATTTTTAAATACAAAGTTTCTTGCTATCTGATTTAGGAAGTTCTGGTCAGCCTTCTTTTGGAAGATTATTCAGATACCCAAAGTTTGAGATTGGAGAAGCGATAGCAAGCAAAAGCTTTTTCCAAGTAAATTTTAAATATATTTTCATCATTAAATATTTCTTTTACTAGTATGTATTACTTCATCTGTTTTGACTTATTATCATTTTTTAGGCAGACAGAGTTGATATGTATTGGAATAAATCTGGAACTAATGTATTATTGATGACAAATATAGAAGTTGACAAGACCGGCGCATCGTATTATGGAAAACAGACATTGCATCATTTTAATACAAAAGGGGAGACTGCTATGGTTATGCTAAGTAAGTTAATTTTAAACTCTCACCTTTGATTAGTATTAAAAGTTTAGAATATTGTTTTAAAAGACCAATTCTAAAATAATACTATAACAGAAATTCTTTTAATTTAAATTAGGTAAAGAAGGTCCTATACATGCAGTAGAATGGTCTCCCAAGAATACAGAATTCTGTGTGATATATGGTTTTATGCCATCTAAAACAACATTATTTAATTGCAAATGTGAAGCGGTCTTCGAATTTGGCATGTTATATAGGAATAGTATATATTATAATCCACATGGCAATAATATCCTTTTATTATCATATTATAAGCTAATAATTGTCTTAATACTATAAGACAGTATTTAATTACATCATTATTCTTAACAGCAAATGCGTATGTGCGTGTTTTGAAAAATTAACAAACTTTTTGCAATAAGAATTTCATTTAATGGAAGATTAATTGATTTCAAATTTGATTATCAATTTATTAAAAAGGAGGAAATCTAGGTATAGCTTTGAATGGGCTATATTGCAAGTTCGGTAATTTAACGACACGTGATTCGTAATATAAGCATTTGCCTTGAATTTATATATTCAATGAAAAAAAAAATTGTTCGACACTAAGACTGTTCGCCGATTAATGCCACCTATAATTTGATTGTTTTGAAAAATATAAGTTATTTGATTATGCATTAATTTCCTTGACTACCGTGTACTATTGCTTTTGGCTGGATTTGGTAATCTTAGAAGTGGCATCGAACTATGGGATGTCATTAATAGAAAACTTATTGCTAAAACTGATGCACCAGATACTACGCTATTACGATGGTCGCCAGATGGTGAACATTTCATGACAGCAACTACAGCACCTAGATTACGAATCACTAATGGGTAAATAATTATATCCTGAAAAAGATTGTGCTAGATTTAGAATATATTTTGTTATAGTAATTAATCATTTGTATTAAATTATTAGATTTAAGATCTGGCATTATACTGGTTCGTTAATATATCAACGACCATGGAATAATCAAGAAGAACTTTGGGAAGTAGCATGGCAAAATTTTCCTTTAAATGTTTTCTCAGAAAAACCTATCAGTTATAAAGCAGTTGACGGTATTGTAACTAATCTTAATCAGTCACAAGGTAATAATTATTTTTATAGGTTATAATTATTTTAAAATTAGGTTATAATTATTAGGTTATAATTATTTTAAAATTAAACATCTCTAAAACATAATTACAAAATAATTAAAATTATTTATATATTTCTAGCACCGAAAGAAGCATATAGACCACCATGTGCTAGAGGACAAAATATTACGTTTAGATTGCATGATGACATTGAAACACCTTCTAAGTCTGAATGTAAGTATTCAAACATAAATAATATAATAATAATGAGAATATTTCATTGTTAATGCTATGGATTATTTGCAGCAAATCCATCAAAAGCTGCATTAAAAATGAAAAAAAATCGGGAAGCAAAAAAAGCTAAAAAAGAATTAGAGTCTAACAATTCTACTGTCACTGAACAAGTTACAAGCACAACAGCAAGCGTAAAAATAGAATTAACGGACGATCCTGAAAAAAATAAGAAAATAAAGAAAATAACAAGCGTAAGTATAATAAAACAAATATGTAATAATACTTATTTTTACATAGTATTTAATTTTTTTACTATTAAAATAATTTACATTGCCAATTTTTTATTTGTCACAGAAATTAGATCAAATATCTAAATTGAAAGAGCAATTAAAAGCAGGAAAACAATTAGAAATCAATCAATTAGATAAGATTAAAAAGGAAGATGAATTACTAAAAGAACTTGAAGAACTTACTTTATGATAAATCATAAATATTAAACACAGAATTAATTCGATAAAAATAAAAAGCTATTGCGAAATAGCTTTTTTGAAATAAAAATGCAAACTAATGGAAAAAAATCAAATTGTGCATTTTGATATTAACTGAAGAAGAACAGCGATTATGGAAAATTTTAAACAAAATTTTTCTCACCAATTGTGAATTGATACTGAATCCAAGAATTGTGTTCGTATATATAAATAATAATAGACGAGTATATTAGATTTAATTAACAAAGAACTTTGTTATACTCAGTAAATGACTCTGTTTAATGACTACATTTATTATTATGTATTTCCTAATTTTGCTATTAATATAAATTGATAATGATGAAGATAGTTATAATGTATATTACCAAAAATTTCTCTTAGAGCATTATGTGCATTATAATAATCATTATCGAGATAAGAGCAAAAGTTACTTCTTGACTAGTTAGCTGAAAGCTAATACTATAGTTTTGAAAATTTATCAGATGTTTCCCGATAGAAATGCGTTCCTGAAAATATAGACTTGCAGTTTTTATTTTGTGATTCTCTATTTTACTTTTTTCTATGAGAATTTTAAAATAAAGACTTAACAGACATTTATAATGCAATAATAAATTTTGCATTTAAATATCTTGTCATTTTGCGCATTTATAGAAATATTATCTAATATGATGCAATCGAAAATTGTAACATTCAAATATAAAATATCGTTTCTGAAAAAATTTTTGAAAAAAAATTGTATATTTAAAACTTATTTTAATATATAATATTTTGTCTAATGTTCTAAGATTTACAAACATAAAACACAATTAAAATATTATATTTTGAAATAAGATTTAAATATCCAATTTTTTCAAAAGTTTATGTTACTCTTTCCTATAGAATATTTTTAGAAAATTCGAATTGCAATTCTTTTTTATTACATCAATTTAAAATTAGAATATAAATTTGTCTGTAATTTTTAATATTTACAAACGTAAAATAATCAACATAATGTAACATTAAGTATAAATAAAATATTAAAACATTTTTTTCAAAATGGCAATATTCAACTAAATGAATTACATTCAATAATAAGAATAATAAGAACAACGTATCAATAGGCACATCATAGGCGGGAGTAGTAATTATATATGTTATGTACAGTGACATGAGATTTATGAAAATAAATTCTTAAAGAAATTATTGTTTGAATATCAATGAAATCCTATTGAGTAATAAATTGTACATTTCGGAAACTCGCTTATAAAAGATATTTTTAAATGTAAGAATAATTTATATTCGTAAAAGGGATTCAAATTAGTACTTGAAAAAAATTCTAGCCATGAATTATATGAAGATGCATTCATTATATTCTTTATTCTCTTATATTTCTTTTCCTTCCAACCATCGAAATATCTCTCTTTAATTTCAAAGTGTAGAAATGTATTATTGGGAATAAGAATATGTTGCTTTTGCCTTATTCTCTACTCTGACTGTATCACACAAAAAGTGTATAGCAAGAGGAAATTAAAATAATAAAAGATTTGTAAGATGATCTTGAGTATATAGTTTAATAATAATCATTAATTGATTCAATCGACACATGTAACAAATATAGAAATAAATCGTAATTTGTTTCCTTATCTTTTTCTATCAAACTAAAAATTATATTTAAGAATTATAGGACAATATAAGAAATATTTATGAAAATTTCAATTTTCAATTGTTGAGTTATGTATCCGTTTTAATGTAAATAAAATTATTAAGTTTTTGTTTATTATTGTATATTGGGAAGAGAAAATTAGGAATGATTATATAATCAGAAATTTTATTGTACAACTCTACCATTTGAGTCATTTCGTCGAGTAACATTTTTTTTATTGAATAGATGTTATTGATATTTATGTTTATATGTGTTCGCTAATAACGAATCTGAAGTTAAATTTACAAAATTCAAAATTTTTACATATTTAAATTTTTTTTTTTGTAAAACAAAGCACATGAAAAATTTTCAATAAAACATAAACTGTATTTAATATTTATTTAAATTTATAATTTAATTTAGTTTACGAGCAATTCAGTTAATTCGAAAAAAATACATTTTCCGTTTTATTTTGTTGTAATTAATTAAAATATTACTAAAAATGGTTTAGATTTTTAAGCGTAATCGAGATTCATGTCATTCTTTCCTTTCCTTGAACTAGGCCTATTTTATTCCGAACGCAGAAGGATGCGATACAGCAACCAAGAACGTATTCAACGCAAACATTTTTCATCATCTGCAGTTGCTGTATCGATTCTTCTTTTCGAGTTCTCCTTTAAATCTTCGATCATCTTAGGTGAGTCAAAACATGAGAAATTTAGCTCGAGCCAAAAAGTTCTGTGGACAGTCTCTCTCCTCGGAGAGAGAATCGCGTCAATTGAACGTTCCCGCGCCAGCGATGGTCGCATCGGCGACGAATAGCAACGAGGAACGAGGACGGCGCGACCGAGGGAACGGACCAATCGCGATCCTCGCTCGGCACCCCGTCGTGCACGCACGTCGTCTCGCGGGCGAGCACCGCAGCGCCGCGGCAGTCGTGTTTACAGATTTTGCCAGTTGAGTTCCGTAACGTCACGTCAAAAAAGTGCAACACACGAATTTCTACCACGTTTACTATGTAAAGGTGCGTTCCCCGACGGCGGAGGTGCGACGCGCGGCCCGTCCACGGTCCGGGACGGCTATCCGCACGATCTGACCCCGTTCGCGTGACCGCGGCCGGCTATCGGGCCGGAATATCGGCGCTTTTGTTAATACACGGCAGTGCCAATCGTTAGGATAGTCGCCATTTTGTCCGGAGAGGTAGCCCGGTTGGAGAGAACGGGGCGAAAATAGAGGCGCCGCCTGGGCCGCGAGGATCGTCGGGGTCGCTTAGGTACCGAGCCGCGCGATCGCCGTCGCCCGTCGTCGATCGACCAACTCGTCGGGGGCCGACCTGCTCCGACAGCGATCCGTAGACCCACGGCTGGGTTTCCCGACAGAGTCGCCGTTGTCCGGTAGCGCTGCGCCGACTTCTCGGTCCCGAGACGGCGTTACAGCGCATCTCCTCGCGACGACCGATCGTCGCCTGGACGCGATTTCCTGGTGAAAGCGCGCGTCCACGAGACGCACACCTATTCTCGAGCGAGCGCCGACCGGCACGGCCGCTCCCTCGTCGTTAGCTCTTTGACGACGTTGACAGTTTGCCGCGCGTCGACGGAATGTCCAAGCGACGGTAATGACGATGACGACAACGACTCGCGCCTTGAAGTCGCGCCGCGTGATCCGAGAGCATAATCATCCACGATGTCGCTCTCGGCTTGATCTCTTTAATCATCTCTTCCGTCCGCATGCCACCGTGGCCCAACGCTCGTAATACGCGTCCTAAGTCGATGGTATCTGCCTTGCACCGTGGATATATTCGAGTTGTAGCCGATTGCTTCGAAACATTCCACTCGTGGTTGTGGAATCGATTCTCCTCGACTTATGTATTGTCTTGAGATTTGAGATTCACTTGAAGACAATAATGATCATATTAGTCTCTGAGTATATTTCTGCTAGTTATACATTGGTTTGCGAGTTGCCATTTGTTGTGGTTTTCGCAAGAAATTGAATGCTTATGTAATTTGTCGTCGCGTTGTTGTGATAAATTAAAATTCTCATGTGCTTGGACTGTATTGAATTTGATGACAACCATCATTAGTTTGTCTATTGAAGACATAATTTGTTTATAATGTGAGACTTATGTCTCTCATTAGTGAATCTTGAGAAACGCAATGCTAAAATTATTTTCCTTTGTTACAGATAATGTAGGTATAGTTTATTAAAACAAGGCCTTTAGGATTAATTATATTTAATGTCAGTATATAAGCTGAATGCTTGTTATCGGTGGTGTAATCATTGGACCAAGAGATATCGAGACAATTAAGGCTTAGCAAAGAACTTATAAAATGACGATTGCCACTAGGGGCCAGGGAGTTGGCATAGACCCTCCTGACAGCCAGCAAAATACACAGGTATGTAGACTTGAACTTATAGAAGGTTCGTACCATATTCAGTACGCAATGATCTGATATCCAATAAGAGACTTTTTCCTAGTTCCTAAATAGTAACACTTTTGTTACTATTTAGGTTTACTTACTACCTAATTTTACCTTTTGGAATTTCTAGATAATAAAACACTTTTATCTATGAAAATGAATTCTTTTATTGGGTATTGGACATCAGACAATGGAGTATAAATCCCTCTTTAATATGCTTAATCGATGAAAGTGATATGAAATATAGTTTGTATCCAAATAAAATCACAAATATATATATATATATATATATATATATATATATATATATATATATAGTGTAGT